GGGGGGGGGGGTGCGCACCTCCTGCACCCTCCCCCTAGATCCGTCCCTGGGAAGAGACTGTTTTTGAAATATGATGGTCGTAAGTCAGGTGAGGATCTAGAATGACTCCCAAGGATTTACAAGGATTTGTATGGAAAACCACCGTGACTCAAACGTGACTGGGTAGCAAGAGATGTTTTTCTGATACAAATCCTTTTAATTTTCGGCAGCCGTTGCGATCGCTACTTTAGAGAGTATTTGGCTGAAAATTACAGGTTACCTAATTTTAATATGCTCTTTCAGCACGTTATACTAAAATTGTTCAAAAGCGAACTGTTTACGAGTTTACCGAAAGTTGATCACGTGATCAACTCCCGCAAAGGGCCTCTTATTGTTTCAATTTTTAAATAGTTGTCGGAGAGTTTTGTTGTTCCAGTGTTTATTACCTACGTTCATCTATCGCTGATAGATGAATGTAGGTAGCCGGGAAATTTTAAATAGGGAAAACTTGTTTGCCATTTACTTACTTGTTGAATAGTTTTCGAGGTGTTTTACCTAAATTTCAAGTAAAAATTTAAAAGCATAATTTCTGCATTTCTGAACATAATTGAGAAACACTATATAGTTATTGGCATAATTTGAGGATATGCGGGCACTGCTAGCAACATATTATGCTAATTTCGCGAGCACAATCTATCAAAGCCGACCTTCAAATCACCTGTTTGCAAAACGTAAGGGATTGTTGTCGCCGGGCGTAGGTCAAAGGTTCTGCAAGGAATTAGTGTTATCTTTGTTGTGCGCTGATGTAAAAGATGCGCGGTTTTATTCCATGTGCCTTCTTTAAGCTTTCTCTTTCACCGTTGGTCGCAATTTTGACACCGTTAGGAGGTGCGCCGGCTTTGTTGTTCAATTTACCCTCCTCACCGTTCTGTTTTTAAGGCTTAGTTATTACTATTTTCCCCTTTGACGCATCAGTTAACCCTTAAATAGTGTCCTTTCTCTATTGAGTCCTAGATAATTCCAAAATGTAATTTCAGAACATTTATAGTTTATAGTGTCAAAATAAGGCATTGTTTTATAATTTAACCTGTTCGACGCAAACTGTTGAGAGAATTAATAGCTGGTGTTAAACAAGCATATCATTTATAATTTACACTTAACAGTACAATTTTCATTTCAAAACACAGGTATTTTGAGGGGCGACAAGAGGAGCTCGGCTTGGTCAACGGCACTTTATAATTTGCTAGAATCTGTCCACATTCTTAGGATTCCCGTGTTCTGCGTACTACAATGCATGGAATGTGACACCACGAAGTTTAGGGTTGTCAGTAAGGGCCTGTTTACATTGAGGTGGGGAACCCCCAGGTAGGTGAGGTAACCCGCTTAGGTAGGGTTACCCGCCTGTCAATCTGATCTCTCATATGGTCACCCCACCTATCATGTAAGCGGCGTGACCAATGAGAGATTATATGGGCATGCGGGTACCCCACCTAAGCGGGTTACCTCATCTACCTGGGGTCCCCCACCTCCATGTAAACAGGCCCCAAAACGCGGACTCGGTGTCGGGGCCAGGGTCTCTTTTTTTTATTTTATCTTCATAGGCAATAACATCACAGCTTAACTGACAGTAGACCAATAACATCACCACTTACTTGACAAATCAGGTCAAAAACCAGAGTTTAATACAATCAAATGACGTGATAGATAGATAGATTGATAGTTTATTAAAACTGCATCACAGCCAAAGGCTGAATTACGCAATTATTTACAAAAACTTTACCATACTTACAAATTACAAATGAATCCTACATAATAAGTCAAAAACTAATTTTTAAGATAATATTAAATATTCTATATAACATATTCATATTGAAATATGTTAAAATATAAAGCATGAATATAAGTGTGATAAAACTACAGCCCGGAATGTTTCGACATCGCATATATAAAAGTATTACTTGTTCTGTTCGTGCAAAGCTTTGATACAACTCCCTTTGACTCTGACTGCATGGCTACCGCACAGATTGTCGAAACGACAACAACAGTCCTATATCAGGACTACACCCACTTGGAAAAGCATATTCCAGTTACAATTGAACCTTAGAGCTAAAACTGTGCTGCGTAGAAGGGTTTCATACGCTCGCCATGTTTGTTTGACTCTGTGCGCGCAAAGCCGAGTGATTGACGCTAGTGTTGTCCACAGCTGTCAAAATTGACCAATCATAGGGTATACCGGGAGTTGGTATAACTGAACGAGATATTGAAAACAAAGCTTACGGGCTCCACTTCTCCGAATCTCCCCGGGAGCCCCAACGCACTTTCCGTGCAACTTTTCTCGATCGGCTCTCCCTACTACCTTGGAGACAGCAAGATAGTAGATGACTCCGCAAAAACGGTCAACATCATTGTAAAAAACAAACTTTGCAGTGTACCACCCGCCTGCGGCTCGTGGTTCCACCTACTTGTACATTTTGACGCCATTTCTATTGTCGATAAGTTGTAGATCTTGGATAAATCCCCCCCCGGGGGGGGGGGTACGTTAAGAATTTCTGGGTTAGGATGTGCCGCTGGGACCCTGGAACCCTTAACCTATACCAGAGCTAGTTCAGGTGAATTTTGCTACCCTATACTAGAGTAAACTCCCCCAAAATCCCCCCTATCCTAGAGTAGCTGTTTCCCTAGTCTAGATAAAGTCTTCAACCAACTGATCAGTTTCCTGAAAAATGATACCCAATTCTAGAGCCAAACACTCTGATTTATATACCCTATCCTAGAGTAAACTGCTCGAAAACCATACCCTTCACAGCGGCACATACCTATATAGCCCATATATGGCAGTACCCCTCGCCGGGGATAAATTCCTTGGTATAAATGTGCTTCTCAGAAAAGCCTCTTGATGGGAGGTCTTTGTCTATTTCAAGGTTTTTTCCCGGTCGATTAAGAAAACTAAAACATCATGAAAAAATCGACAGTAGAAGTTTTTTTAAAAGCTTTATTAATTGAATTCAATTCTTTATTTCACACTAGAAAAATAAAGTAACTGATAAATAATAATTAACTTGTGTACAGTGTCCAAAGTAGCAAGAGCTTTCTTGTAGGACACCGTTATGTTCAGATAATCGGCAGCAGTAAAGATAAAAGCAGTTTAATCAGCATAAAATTGATATAGGGTTTTAAATATACTATTTAATCCTATTCATTGTTGTCCTTCTCTACTTCCATAAAAATCTTCACGACGTCTTTTACAACCTAAAATTGTAAGCAGAAGGTCATAAGTAAGTCATTTAGCAGAGCATGTACCCATTTTGTTAGAGTTAAAGCGGCTGTCACGAAGGCATTGCTGTTTCAGGTCATTTCTGTGCTGAAGTCATTTCTGAGTGCCTTTACCCAACCAATACACAAAATGCTCCAGAAGAGTTATGAAGTAGACTCGACTCGATCTGACTGCTGGTAACTGACAATAGCAAACTCGTGAATCCAGCCGTCTGTTCGGAGGAGGAGCGCGGGCTCATTTCCCGAACAGTGGCCGGTAATCGAGTCTGGTTATGAAGAAGATATCAAACAAAATTTCATAAGGAGCACTAGCCATAATAATATTTTTCGCGAGTTTTGCAGGCATTGTACTCTGGGTACCAGAGATTTTTTCTCGCGTGTAACGAGGAGCTTCATCGGCTCCGAACCGTGTTTTCGGTTTCGGTCAAGTCTTAAAAAGTGACCCGCGCGAAAAGTTTGATTGATAGTTGAAATTGGAGTAGCTGACAAATAGAGTGTTGGAAAATTACTTTTTTGTTGAGATCGGTCGGAAAGGAAAATGTAAAATAAGATTTGTGACTTGTGTGAGTTATTTTGTGCCGCACAAGTTCGGTACAAAAAAGTGGTGCCGTGACTAGGATTACGACTGCGGAACCGCGGTAACGGCGACAACGAGGAACAGAGGAATTCAACACGAACAACGGAGGAATTTAAAGTTAAGGTGATTCCTTAGTAAAAGAACCTAACATAGATTGTAGATTAAACTTGGTACACTGATGTAACAAGTTAAAAAGATGATAAAAAAGTAATAAAAAGTGGGGGTCACCGTGCTCGTTTTGACGTCACAATGCTGACAAATACGGCTATTTTGTACCCTATGACAAAAACCACGCGCAGCCCAAAACTTCACAAAAGGGAGAGATTTTTTCGATGATGCATGTGGTATCCCACAGAATTTGACTTTACTGTATTGTTTATCCACGTACCAGAAAAATGTCTTTTAATCCTCCTGTTTTTACTTTACGCTCCAAAGTAGAATTGAATTGGACACGCGCTATTCGACTCGTGATAGCTCAATCCGTACAATTTAGTAAAATTGCCAAAAACCTGAACATAGATTTGAACCAATTTTTTTCTCATCGAAAGGAAGCACTGTCCTTATTAAAATCATGAAATAAAAAACGGGGGTCACCGTACTCGTTTTTGCGGTAGAGCTGCAGAAAGTGCGCACCAAGGGCATTTCGTCCGATTTTTCCTTAAAATTAATTAATTGGGGCGAGTTTTAAAATAGAATGTTTGTGAAAGGGGGAAGAAAGTATTAAAAAATCCGTTTTTACAGAATTTACATCGAGATATCACATTTAGGACACAATGTGATAAAGAAAGCGTTTAAATGAAAATCAAGGTGAGTAAGCACAAGTTTAAGTTACATCCACTATCGAGGTTCTCCGTGAGGAAGTCGAACTCAGCGACACGCGTACTGCTTACGTTATGCACATTCCCAACACACTGAGTCTCACCTCGGCAAGAAACACCCGCAAGCAAAAATTCCCATAGCGTTTCTCTACTGTCAACTTCGTCTTCATAATGTTACTTCACATGCTCTTTTTTACGGCGGCCACCTTGTTATGCGTAGTAAGAGATGCGCAGTGCAAAACCAGGGAATCACCTTAGCATGAGCGACACAGAGGATACAAACACAAGCAAAGAAGAACAACGCCTGGAAAAGGACATAGACAAGGAAATTAACAAGCTAAAATACTTTTTGGAGGAAACAGACGAATTGATTGGAGTACAAGATTACACAGAAATAAAAATAGCCGAGAAACGAGCAGAGATGATCATTGTGGAATTATCGGATCTTGTTGCACCACAGGCGTCCCATGCTCACGTTATGTAAATTTACTTTATCATTCGAGAGTCGGTGTCGCATTACAAGCGACCGTTGAGATTTTGTATGAGAAATAAAATACTGAGGTCTGCGATAGCCTGCGAACGACAGACGTTTCTCCTCGCTCATCGCCGCTGAGGGACGTTTCGCGAGGAGGAAACGCGAAACGTCCCTCAGCGGCGATGAGCGAGGAGAAACGTCTGCCGTTCGCAGGCTAGGTCTGCGATCGCTAAATATCATTTTTTTTTTTACTTTTTTTTTGCCTATGAAATAAATAAAGGAGACTTACCTTTGACGTACTGCTGTTTTTTTGGTGCGAATTCATCGATTTAGTTGTTTTTTTGGCTGTTATTGTGTGACCCTGTCACTCTCCTCACAATACTAAGTATTGAAGAGAGTGACAAAATACGAAATATTATGAAGAAAGTGACAGGGGTCACACAATAACGGCTAAAAAACCCCGTTTAAATCGATGAATTCACACCAAAAACACTGGAATACAACAAAGGTAAGTCTTCTTTATTTATTTTAGAGAGAAAAAGTAAAAATAATGATACTAAGCGTTCGCAGACCTCAGTATTTTATTTCTCATACAAAGTCTCAACAGTCGGTTGTAATGCGACACCGACTCTCTTGTGAGAAAGTTAATTTACATAACACACTCATAACGTGAGCTTGGTCATTAAGGGGACAAATTACAACAGAGTGAAAGAATTCTATGAGAGACTGAACAAAAAACCATGATACCATACAGACCCTGGAGAGGCAGAGATGCTAAGAGGGTTTGTTATGACCGTCATCAAGAAATTGCCTCACGCAAAGCCTGGCCTTGGGAGGACAGGTGACGACTGGGAGAAATGTACCATGACTGACATGCTCGATAATCTGCGGCAGTGGTTGAAAAGACAAGGTCGATGATGCACCTTGGGCATACGTGGACACTGGAGCTGGGAGGGAATTCATTACAAGCAAAGCGGCTGAAAGTCACGAAATACGAGAGATTCTCACCGTAAACGGCACCAAGAGACCTGACTAGTTCAATCGATAAAACCGATAATCGATAACGATTGATAAAATCGATTAAAATTAATTAATTGTATCGGAAATCGATAGAAATCGATCAAGGGATACGTTGTAAGTAATCGATTTTATCGAACTTATCAAATTTATCGGCGCAATACGTTTCCACGTATTTAAGGGCAGCGAAGCATCAGAACCTCCCGAAAACCAGTCTAACAAAAAATTACTATCGTAGGATAAATTTAAAGATTTATTTCACAAATAAAATGTTGAACAATACGTAACATAATCGGTATTATACTTAACATGATTCAGCGGAGAAACAAAACGTAACAGCTTCTTTTTGCATTTTACTTAGAAACTATTCAAGTTAAACACCGTTGAGACATTGTACGACGGTAGTACAGCGGACGTACAATTCCGGCCTATGAGCGAGCGAGAAGGTCTTAAGACGCCCAGATAAAACAGATGTAAGCCCCTTATTAAACGCATCGGCAAAAACACAGCTTGTTTTTTAAACGCTGTCTCGGAAGAACCGGTATTTTGCATTTAAAAGTGAACAATACACGGTCCTTAATGAAAACAATAAAATCGATAAATCGATAAATTCAATACCTTAAAAGAGCCGCGATGGTTGTGAGTATCGATTTCTATCGATTGATCGATAAATTTGATAACGTTTAAATTTGAATTATCGATAGTTATCGATTTATCGAACGGTTTTCCGATATCGGTTTTTATCGATTGAAATGGTCAGGAAAGAGAAAATCTATGCCCATCTTTCACCTCTCAGTTGAGTCACTGGATGGAAAAGCGAGTGAGATTCTGGTAACTGGAACGAAGTTGTGAGACTTCACAACGGTACGAAGACCAGACATAAACAAGTTGAATAAGCAGTAGGAACATACCAAAGACAAGAGATTCTACAAACAGATTCGAGACGAGTATCCCATACACGTGATTTTAGGAGACAATACCTGTTGTCGAATAAGAACCGAAGAAGTATACAAGGGACAGCCGGGAGAACCAATTGTGGAAGGAACGACCTTTGGCTGGGTAATCCATGGTGGAAACCTCCAGATAGCAAGAGCTTCGTCAGCAGAGAGTCAAGTGACTATGAGCGGCTTTACAGCCTCGACGTTTTGGAGGTCAGGGACAGAGGTGAAAACGACAAGCTTGATGTTTACACGGAGTTAAAAGAGAACATAGTAAGGGACAACGACGAGGTAAACATTCCTTGGATACCGGGAGCAAAACTAGATGGAACCAATGAAGAACAAGGCCGGAGACGCTTACAGAACATGGATATCAAACTAGGACAAAAGGAACAATTGAAGGCTGAATACAAACACACATAATTGAAAAACAGCTAGAGGAAGGGATAGTCGAAAGAATCTTAAGGAAACCATCTGGGAAACGAGTATTCTATTTGCCACACAAAGCTGTCGTTGGAATAGAAGCTGTCACAACGAAAGTGAGAATGGTAGAAGATGCCAAGTTCAAAGTGAACAAGTGAGAGTCAAACATAAAAGAGTTGGAAGACCAGAACATGCCAAACCCCAGCAAAATACTAAGACAGGTTTGGGACAAGGAAGACGACATCTTAGAAATCAAGATTGCACCATTCAGTAAGGATACGCCAATCACAAAGAACACCATTCTGAGTTACCATGGAAAAGTGTATGATCCGCTAAACAAGCGGCTGAGGGAGGCTAAAACTCATGTTTGGAGGAGATGGAGACATGAACACAACCACAGCCTGATGGAGACTCATCAAATTACCCGCCAGACCGCAAAGTACCATATATCTGAGAAATTTTATTGATAGTCGCAGACGAGAAAAATCGAGAAGAGTGGAAAAAGGGAAAGTTTTTACGACATATTTTCGAGGAAAAGATGGAGTTGTCAGAGGAGTATCGTTGATTCACAAGGGTCACCACATTGACAGACCACTTAAGGTGACTCGACCCAGTTTTTTTTTTTGGGGGGGGGGGTACCATCCTACTTTGAAGCTCTCTGGTATCCCCTCCTTTACTTTTATCGTAAGTCTAACACATAGACTGGATAACATATAGATCAATCTACAATATAACATAACATTTTTGGCGATCGGACTAAATGTCACGTGGTTATAATGCCACGCCCCTTTACAGGCTCAAGCTAAAGCTGCTACTGAGAATTCTGAGAAAGCGAAACAAGCCGAGGTATAGCCCCACTATCCAAATATAAATTCTTCAATTTCATCTCCGTACATTTCCGTAAAGAATAAGTCAAGAGAATATCAGAGCGTTAGTATGACTAGTATAACACTTTGCATTATCGGAAATAAAACAAGGACATTTCCTTAACAAGAGATATCCCACAATTTTAAGCGTTGAATATATTATTGCTTTACCTTGGATTTTGTGCATTTTTTAATTAAAATCTCGAGAGTGTGATCAGCGACTCACCCTCCCCACCCCCCAGATATGATGAGCTATGGACCACCCTTCACGCACACCTGTGGACAGCAACCATTCTCGTCCTTCCAAATTTCATTGTGTATTTTACGAGGTTAGATTATCGGTAGCTATTTTACTTCTGTTAAATCCAATAATTTTACTCCTAGAAACAAACCCCAGAAAATTCGATTGTTCTCTTTTCCTCCTTAGATCGCAGCGTTACAGGCCCAATTGCAGGCGCTAAGAGACATGGCTGGGGTATGTATAGCCGTGTATGATTGTTTTATTAACCTTCAATAAAATAGAAGCTTTTTGATCCTTTTAGTGACTGGTTTAAACGAAGTCAGTGATTTTTCCATTAATTTGTTGTTCCTTAACCTTTGACCGTTAACCCTTAAGCGTTGTATTGGAATATTTTCTAAAATAAGATACTTTGTTAAGCACTAAGTCCTTATTCAGTTATATTACTCACTGATTTATGCCTTCTTGGCTTATAGCTTAATTAACTGGGAAAGGCCACTTATTATCTTTTAGAAGAAAGCAGTAAGGATAATTATCTTCTCTGATTATAAATCCCATTGTTGTCCTCTCTTGCATGAGCAAAGGCTACTTTAATTATGTGATTTAATATATCTAGACAATGCTTTTTTATGTACGACTTACTCAAACAGTTTCCTTAGTAAATATACTTTTAAACCATTAAAAAAGTACAGCAATATGAAACCAGACCGGCGTCTAACAAGTCTTATTATTATTCGATGTAAATTTTTCTTCCTTTTCATTAGCCGAAAGCCCACCACGTGACCTGCAAATAACTGCCTACAAATAATGGTCTGCTCATGCGCAATGTCGTCCAACTGTGTTTGGCTGCAAATAATATTCTGCTCATGCGTAAACGAAACCACGCTTTTCTCCTTCTTGGGATCGTTTTTGCGTGTAAAAAGGTAGATCGCATCGCTTCCCGAAGATGGTCGTTAAAAAACAAACTTGGCGATCTCAAAATATCGCGATTTGCCAGTGTCTCGCACATCAATAATTTGCCTCAGCCTTCGGCTTCGGCAAATAATTGATCTGCTCGCCACTGACAATTCACGATGTTTTACTCAACCTCGTCCAATAATTGTTAATTATTTCCTTATAGCTAGGACCATTGTTCATTCTTACCTGACGCACAAGTGGTCTTGATCTTTGTCGGACGTTAATACCCAACCACTTTAGGGATTATATGCGGTTATATAATGTTTGTTCTCTCTGGCAACAATCATTTTAAGCCTGTTTTTCACTAGTTTCGGAGTCGTAATCAAAGTCGAATGAGTGGTCATGAATTAGTGAATGTCGTAATCGTAAGCGGAGTTATTTCTGAAGAATAAACCAACCAATACCAGTGCTTTTTCCCGGTTCCTGATTATTTATGGAAGCGAAAAGCTGTTTATAGCTAAATTTTGCTCTTGACGCTAATCGTCAAGTACCACATTGTCTGAAAAAGAAAAAATATGCACGCTGGTTTCATCGAAGGGTGAACTTAATTGTGATGTCCCTTATTTTATTTTTTTTTATTATTTTTGTTTTCAGGCGGCATCTGCTAAACCAGCTAGTTCAAAGCCAGCAAAAGGTCAGTAGCCGGTCTATGTAATACGAAGCACGAGGTATAAGGGAGAGTTAGCAAAGGCAACACAATAGAAACGTTTAGGCTCCGTTCTCAGGTATCAGAATATTCTATTGTGTTGCGTTGGCTAAATCTCCCTTTTCGCAGCCCTTGACGTTGTGGTTGATCTGCCCATTTGACTTGGGTCAATAAATTTTATCAACGCTTGTTTTTACTTGCGACCGAATTGGCGTCGTTACTAAATTCATTTGCTCTGCGAAAATCCGAAGAATCAGAAAGTTTTTATTTCCTTCCGAGTGGGCTTGTAAAAGACCACCCGGCCAATCAAAATGCTCGTTCCCTCGTTTTGTGAACGGTCTTGTAATCCACTTTTGCTTACGACTTGGACAGTCC